GATGTTTCTTGCTAGATAATGTGGCAGTGAACACTTGTTTTGACATTGCCAAGCTTGAGACCTCCAAAATATCTTTGTCTTACAATTATAAAATAATGATATATATCACACAGAGAGTTTTTTTTAATAAAACCAATTAATAAATTCTTCCTGGAAGTAACACATTTCTAAATCTACCTACTGATTTCATCCCCTGTCTCTTAGGAACTACTGTTGATTTCAGTATTACCTTAATATATTATCATTGCTCATTTATTGTATCTCAACATGTAACAAAACAAATCAGTTTGTTTTTATACTAGTATTTAATGTGTTTGCTCAAACAAATACAAGACATGTACACTAGACTTATATATCGATATGTTCATTTGAAAAAAAATCAGAAGAAATGGTTTAATCTACAAGGGGAAATGTATCATATGCTGTGGCACAATGTCAGTTTCTTGGATACAGAGTTTTAAATGTCACAACCTATTTTCCTTGTGAAAACTACAGTTAGTATGAAAGACAGGAATGTAAATGATCAGAACACATAATAATCTCAATGACAGACATGCTTCAAGTGCTGCTGGAGTGCCAGGTGAATCATGGCCATCATGGTTTTGCAGTCAGAATCATTACCAAAGACTATCATTGGAATTGTCTCAAGGAATGAGCAACAGTTCATGTGTAGAAAGAGATGAAAGAGTGTTCTAGGAAGAAGAAACGACACATACAAAGGCTTGTAATATGGACTATCAAGATATGTGAAGAGAGTGAAACTGCTTTACATGAGTTTGTTTGTAGTTGTGTGTAATGGTGGGTGAGTGGGAATTAGTGATGCAGAGAGGGACGTGAGTTCAGAAATGTAGAAAAGAGCCAGCTCTTGAAGGATTTAGTATTTCTTGCTAATTTTTTTTAAAATTTGTGTATTTTTAAAATAGGAGACAATATAAAATAAATTAAATAACATAAGTAGCTTTTATTTTATTACTTTATTGAAATCACTCTTATGACTACTTTCAGATAAAGCCTGAATGTAGAGAAAATAGTGAGATCATTATACTAATAGGAGCACAGAAACCTGACATACATGTAGGAAATGGGGAAGGATATTAGCAGGTATATGGGAGAGGAATTCTGAAGCATGATGAAAGCTGTATAGGGTTTGTGTGTTGGAGTAGACTCAGAAATGGAGCCAGTGTGACTCTTATTATTGAACAAAAAGACTATAAGAGAAAGATCCTTCCAGAGTTCCATGACTTATTTTTGACTATTAAAATGTTTAAGATGAAAATCAACAATCAAACAAACAACAACAATTAAAATCATTAAAATAATTTAAAACCAGAGACTGGAAGGTCACATTAAAGATACATGTATACATCGCTTAGTATATGCATGCATGGAGTTGTTCTTGGGATGCAATCCCATATTACTTCTCCTCTTGATATAGGGTTCCTCATTGACCTTCTGTATTATTCCTTCAGCACTGGGGTTACAGGCATGCAGTAGCACATCTGAAGTTTTATTTGAGTGCTAGTCCAAAGTCATATCCTCATGCTTATGTGGCAAATGTTGTACTCACTGAAGAATATTCACTGTCCTGTGCCCACTTAGTTTGAAGATGCTGCCACATAAGAAAGAACTCTAAACTTTTTTAGAACAAGGTAATATTCCACATTTATCATTGCCTTCAGACAATCTCAGCACTAATTCGAGTACTTAATCAATGACAACTTTGTATGTAAATGTGTTGTATTTGTGTTTAGGTGTTTGTGTGAGTGTGGTATGTGCCAGGGGTTAACAGAGTGCATTTTTCCATCACTTGATACCTATATTTTTTTTTTTTCAGATAGGATCTCTCACTAAACCTTGAGCTCACAATAAGCAAGGCTAATTGTCCTATGAACCTCACATGTCCTTTTATCTTTGCCTTCCTGTTGTTGAGATTACAGAATCAAACAACAATGCTTAGACTTGTAAGTGAGAATGCTGGGAACCGTAACTCTGGTCTTATTGCTTGTGTAGCAGGAATGTTATAGACTAAGCCATCATGACAACTTTTAACTTTTAGAAATTTAACTTTTAGAAACAAAGTAGGAACAAGAATGTCAGGAGTTTACCATTTTGCTTTTAGTCCAATGACAATTCTCTGAAACTGTATTGTTGTCAACCATATGACTAACTCTAATATCTAGCTTTCCCCCCACTATCTTTCCTCTACTTCTCTCTGTGAGTTACGAGAAGTAATAAAACTTACAAGGCTCCTCTTGGTTATTCAGTCTCTAGTGATCTGTGATATGCAATTTCATGCTTAATGTTCTACTCATCTATCATGTGCCTATTAATATATTCATCTTATGTCAGGATATAGACAAACAGGAACACCATAGCTATGTTTTCCTTCAAAAAGTTGAATGGAAGAGACAGATGTTAGTATTCAACAATTCACATTCTGGTGATGTCAATTAGTTTCAGTTCTCAGTTTTCCTTGTTTGTAATTTTATAGGTTACTCATACATTATCCAAGTTCATGGAACTTTGGCTAAAGTTTGGGATCAGAGAAACAACTCATAGCAGAAATATCACTGGCTACGTAGTAGAAATGTCTAGGATTTAGTCTTTCCCAGGAAGTCATTGTATATAGTACCCAGGTAAATTTTTTCCACCTGGGGATCTTCATATGTAGAAGGACAAAGAAATACTTGGAAACTTTTGATGATTTTGGTTGATATGACACTGTGAAAGTCTATAATCCTATGGAAGTCTGGAATGATACATGGGTAGTGTTTGGAATGTGTGATGGGGACAAGAACTAGGACTCTCAAGTCACATTTAACTGGACAGATTTCACCTTGGAAGAGACCTCAGAAACATGATTGGCATGTTTACTGTTGCTCACAAGATCTTTCCTACCTACTATCTAATTTTCTCCCCAGTAGCACCTGCTAGGTGTTATCAGCCTCATCATTTCATGAAGAAAATGAAGCACAGAGAAGGAAATGGCTGTATTAAGTATTTTATATTAATTTTCTCATCTAATTCACACAAAAATCTTAAGACCTTTCACATTTACTTCTTCTCATCATATTTCTCCTCTTTTACTTTCTTAAGAGTTCATAGACAATAGATCTAGGTTTATGAAAGCTAAGTAGATTTCACTTCATCAGTCAGTACTAGAGTTCAAAATATATTTAAATTTACAATGTTTGCCTATAAGCTTGATCAGAATCTGAATGACTACAAAGGCTAGAAAGTGATGATTGAGGAAAGACTTTTGAGATTTTGTTTTCTTTTTTCAAGATTTATTTTTATTTATTTATATGCATGAGGGAGTGTCTAGTGAGTGTTTATGCACGTATGCATGTGAGTACTTATGCCTGGACCTGCATGTGGAGGCAAGGAGAGGATGTCACATGTCCTTTTTATTACTTATGACATGTTCTTCTAAGGCAGAGTATCTTCCTGAACCTGGGAATTCACAGTTTGGCTAGGCTGGAAGCCAACATGTCTACATCAGTGATCCTTCTAGCTTGATGTCCCCTAAAAGTTGGAATTATGAGCTTTTGTAGAGGATGTCTGGTAGGTTGTTAGGTTACTGATAGCATCTGAACTCTTATCCTCAGGATTAGAGAGTAAATGCTATTAAACACCAAACATCTCTCCAGCACAATGTTTGCTTTTTTTATAACCATAAAAAGGATACTGAAAAAATAATATAAGGAGCCTTACACTTTCAGTTGCATTGTATATATAGAAGGAAGAATGATGGGGACACATGCCTTTAACCTCCACTCTTGGGAGGCAGAGGCAGGCATATCTCTGAGTTCGAAGCCGGCCTTGTCTACAGAGAGAGTTCCAGAACATGTAGGGCTACACAAATAAACCCTGTCTCAAAAAACAAACCAAAGTACAAAACAAAACAAACAAAAACAAAAATAAAGCAACAACAACAAAAGAATGACAAATCTTTGTAGAATGGAAAATCACATATCCTATTAGTGGAAGGTAACTATTGTCAGTCTGATAAAAGGCAGACATCCCTAAACAGACTTGATTTATAAAGGAAAACCTGGAAATCTAGAACATTAACTAAAATCTATTTATTTAAAAGTACTAGTTATTAATTTTACTGCTGAAAAAAGTAAAGGATACCCAACTTGTTTTTTTATGTGGCTAATGGGGCCACTTTGCTAGTTTTATTCTGAACTGTGCTGTCTTCTAAGACACGGAGTGCCTTACGCTGCTTTGGAAGACTGCTCTATAGCATCAGCCAAGCACTTGCTGTTCATTCACTGACTTCTCAGCTTTAGACTAGGTCATAGCAGATGCACATTGATCCAGTTGCAGTTTTTGCTTGTGGCATGCTTATACTTGAGAAAATGTTAGATATTTTGAATACCATTCTTGGCAAGAAAGATTTGTATGAAAGAATAGTTGTAGTCTCCATGACAATTTTAAAAAGATTCATCTATTTTGCAGAAGAGTAAACTAACTTCTAGCTTAGTTATAAAGGTCCCCAAGCTGTAAGTCATCAGCATGAGACACTAGATGCAGCTCTAGATGACTCCACATTTTCCTCATTCTAAAGTTGACTTGATTTTAGATGTTAGGCTCAATTGCTTTATGTCAAAGAATGCTTCCTTCATTACTTCTATCTTGTGAGAATCTGAGGCAAGGAGAAGGTAGAACATGGAGTAATTTTCTAGGAAGGATGATACCTCAATGCCTCCACACCACCTTCACCATTAAATCTTGCTGGGATGAAGAGGAAGCTGATAGGATGAAAAATGAGGAAGAAAATAATCTGCTTCTCCATAGCCTGGAAGCTCTGACACCAGGGAAAGACACTCCCAGCTCTGTAGGTGACTAGAAGGACAGCACACAGGGAGGAAATTAGGTGGTGGAATGTTACCTTGGGCAGATGCCAACCAGTTGTCTCATGGTCTGAGCCAGACCCACAACTCTTTATATAAACACAGCCTTCTGCCCAGATGCCTTAGCCTGAATGACTTTGTGCCTGCTGAGGAGGGTGAGTTTGGAAGCTATGTCCTGGGATCAATCTGGGGGTGATGGATATTCAAGGGGTGGGTTCCAGAACTCTACAGACTAAGGAATGATTAAGGCAGAAGCTGGGGCAGAGGGACATCAGTCTGAGGTGGAAAACTGACCAAGGATTATAAAATGTGTAGAGTTTATGGAAATAGAGGGGGCTTTAAAGTTGGTATATTTATCTTTGATAGTCCTGGTCTTTTATCCAGGTACCATTTCCCTTTGTTAGGAACTTGTTGTCCCTGGAGAAGAAACAATATTTATTTTGAGTGGGTAGAGGCACAGAAGGATGGATACAGTAGTTATTTGCTTTATACGAGTAGAGGCACAAGAGGACGGATCACCCTCTGTAGGTAACACAAGCATAGGCACTTGCTACAAATGGAAAATGTCTAGCTCTGTCTTCCAGGGTAAGAATTTTTGGTATTCTGAAAGTTTGTCAGACATGCTTTGTTGTTATGATTCAATTGTCAAATTAACCCTGTGCTTTGCCAGTCACTTGGCTACTTCAACAGACAGGTGGCTCTGGGAAAAGCAGATAGGAGTTACTGTATTTTTTTTTTTCTAGCTAAGGGTAGTATAGGAGTGTTTGCCTGAATGCCTTAGGTTATACTGTGATGATCTTGCTATGTAGTTCCATAAGTGTTTCTGACTCTTCTTACATGACTGTAAACCCTTGAATATGATGAGGAATATGATAGTCTTTGGGTTATCTAAGCTTAATTAACTCCATCCTGCATCTCAGAGAGTCTGAGGAGAAAACATTTCTGAAGACAGCTGACTGTCATCCTCCAGATCATTAATAACAGCAACCTGCCTGGGCAAGTTGCCATGTTGATCCTAAGGCTGATGTGTTTTGTATATGAAGTATATATGAATTTTCATATTTCTGTGAAAATCTATTTAAATTAATTCACCTAAAGAGATCGAATGCCAGGCATTAAATATTAAACACAAGGCCTGACAGGTTCAGAATCTGCCTGGATCTTTCGCTAATTCAGTGGACTCTGATGTAATGTGAACAAAGATAATGCCTGTGCTCCCCCAGCCCTGCCCCATGCTCATTTTCACATGTGGCTTGTGTATAAGTTCCTGTGTGCATGGGAGCACAGACAGAAACAAGCTGTTACTTGTTTTTCCTATAGGACTGTTTCCACCACTTGACTTTTTTTACGTGTGGAGACTCATCATCACTGCTCTCTGGTGGCAGACATTGGTATGCCTACATTTATATCCAGCTATGCAGAATTGAGCCATTTGGGCACGACCAGGGCAGGTCTCATGAACAATAGTGACTAGCATGGTCTCAGCTAAGTCAGTAAGGATCCTTGGGTGAAGGTTGAAGGCACATAATGAAAAACCAGAGAAGACGCCAGGCTTCTGGTTCTAGATTCCAGCTCCTCACTTTCCATCTCTCAGCCTCCTGACCCTGGTTTCTCTACCCTCAGGTCTTGCTCACCCACCTGCACAAGGACCATGTGTGACCAGCAACCCATTCAGTGTTGTGCGTCAATACCCCAGTGCTGTGTCAAGGGTTCCTCCTTTGGTCCCTCACAGTTTCCCTATGCCAACAACCAGGTGCTGGTGGAAGCTCCATGTGAGATGCAAATTCTGGAATGTGCTGCACCATGCCCAGTTCAAGTTTCTCAGACTCCGTGCCAGTCCAGTACCACTGAAGTGAAGGGTCAGGCTCCATGTAAGACCACCAAAGTTAAATGCCAGGCCCCGTGCCAGTCAAAGACCACCCAGGTGAAATGTCAGCCTAAGATCACTGAGATAAAGTGCCAGGCTCCCTGCCAGACTCAGGTTTCCTGTGTTCAATGTCAGGTTCCATGCCAACCTCAGGTTTCGTACGTACAAGTCCTACAACCTCCTCAGACTTGCTATGTAGAGTCTGCTCCAGTGTACTATACAGAAACTCGTTATGTGGAATATCCGGTTTCAACCTACGTGCCTGCTCCAGCTCTGCAGCCTGCCTACACTTATGTAGAATGTCCCACAGTGGGCCAGGGCCAGGGAAGTTTCTCCACTCAGTACCAGTATCAGGGCTCCTATGGTAGCTGCACTCCTCAATCACAGTCACGGGGTTCTTATAGCAGCTGTGGTCCACAGCGTCATTCTCAGGCTTCCTACAGTTACTGTGAGCCCCAATTTCAGTCTGGGTCCTCTTACACCAACTGTGGCCCCCAACGCCAGTCACAGGCTTCCTATGGTAGCTGCACCTCCCAACTCCAGTCTCGAGCATCCTACAGCAACTGCTCCTCCCAGCGTCGGTCTGGGGCTTCCTTTAGCACCTGTGCACCTCAATGCCAGGCCCAGGGCACCTACGGAAGCTTCACTGCACAGCGAAGGTCTCAGAGTACCAGTCGATGCCTCCCTCCTCGTCAGCTCCAGCCTTCTTATCGAAGCTGCTCTCCACCAAGACATTCTGAGCCCTGTTATAGCAGCTGCCTGCCGTCCAGGTGCTCTTCAGGTTCCTACAACTATTGCACTCCACCCCGTCGCTCAGAGCCCATCTATGGCAGTCATTGTTCTCCTCGGGGCCGCCCTTCAGGCTGTTCTCAAAGATGTGGACCCAAATGCAGGATAGAGATTTCCTCCCCTTGCTGCCCAAGGCAGGTTCCCCCACAGAGGTGTCCTGTCCAGATTCCTCCCATCAGAGGAAGATCCCAGAGCTGTCCTCGGCAACCTTCTTGGGGTGTCTCCTGCCCAGACCTGAGGCCACGTGCAGAACCACACCCATTCCCAAGGTCTTGTAGGCCACGGCGTCTTGATCGGTCTCCAGAATCATCATGGCAGCGATGCCCAGTTCCTGCACCACGTCCATATCCACGTCCAGTGCCATGCCCAAGTCCAGAACCTCGCCCACACCCTCGTCCAGTGCCTTGCCCAAGTCCAGAACCTCGCCCACGCCCTCGTCCAGTGCCAAGCCCAAGTCCAGAACCTCGCCCACGCCCTCGTCCAGTGCCATGTCCAAGTCCAGAACCTCGCCCACGCCCTCGTCCAGTGCCAAGCCCAAGTCCAGAACCCTTCCCACGTTCTCGTCCAGAGCCATGCCCAAGTCCAGAACCTCGCCCATTTCCTCCATTGCGGCGATTTTCAGAACCCTGTCTGTATCCAGAACCATGCTCAGTTCCTCAACCAGTGCCACATCCAGCACCGCGCCCGATGCCACGTCCGCGTCCAGTTCACAGTGAGAATACAGATCCTTGTCCACAGCCCTGTCCTCATTCACAACCTTGTCCACATCCAGAGCCAATGCCAAGTCCAGTGCCCTGTTCCAGCCCAGAACCCTGTGGGCAACCCATTCGTTGTCCCAATCCCTGCTCAGGTTCCAATCCCGTTCCTCACCGCCAAGAACTAGGCTGTCATGAATCTAACCCATGTCGCCTGGATACTGAAGGCCCGAGATGTGGCTCATACAGCTTCAGCCAGCGGCAAGAGAGTAATGGCAGCTGTGAATCTGGTGATGTCTTTTCAGGATCACACTGTCTAAGTGGTTGTGGAGACCAGGGAAACACCTATGGTGGGAGGAACTGTGGGGCTTATGGTGGAGCAAGGGGAGCCTACTTTTAAACAAAAATATAGCCCAAATGCTCCTACATTAGGTTTTTTAGAGTATTTCCAACTCTCATCTGGTTTAATCTTTCCATAGACATTGAGGTGTTCCCTGCTTCACAGTTGTTATTCAAATTCCTTTCATGTCACCTCAGGTTCTACACCTGACTCTCTGACATCATTCCAGCCTTGTGTTTCACTCCTCCTCTTCACACAGCTTTAATTCTAACTAGACCAGCTTGGCTACTAGGATACTCTTTGGGTGTTCCTCCTGACAGTCTCCAGATGCTCTTGTCTCTGCAGAGGCTTCCTCAGCATGAATCATTTCTCAGCTATTTCTCAGGATCCAAAATTGTGCCCATCTTTCAATAACTTCTTGAATCTTGTTGCTATTGTCTGTTTCCATCCATAAGAGCCTACTCTGACTTCCTAGGGTTCACTACCCCTAACATCATTCATTTAGAAAGTGCTCTTCAACATTCTTGAATTATTAAATTTTCTTTGCAGTTACTGCTGTTTCTGCCCAACTGGATTGTAAACTTTCATGTAAGTGGAGTCAGTATATTGTTAAATATCTGTGCCTATCTTAGGTCAGGTAATAGTTGAACAAGGTTGTGGTTGGCAGCTTGAATCATGTTCTGTCCTGTTGGGAAAGTTTAGGATCTGGGACAATAGGAGGATACATAACAATAAAAACTGGATATATTCACAGTCTGTGTCCTGAATAATGCCTATTCTTTATTTGATGCCAACTTGCTGAGATGAAGCAACTTTTTACATCAGGGTAAAATGCATATAGCAGAATTTACCTTTATAGCTATGTTGGGGAGTACAGTTCAGTGGGGTTGCTTATACTCACATTGTTGTATTACTATCACCACCATTTATCTATCTTACAGGACAAAAACTCAACACTCCATTCTCCACTTCTCCTTAGCCTCTACACAACACCATTCCATTTTCCATCTTTTAAAATTTGACGCTATATGTGTCATAGGTAGACTCATACAGTATTTGTAATTCTTTGACTTGGTTATTACACTTAGCACAATGTTCTCCAGGTTCATCTTTGCTGTAGCACGTGACAGCTATTTAAGGTGGCAAGGTACTATATTGCATGTAGATAATATGCTTTATTTCTTCAGCAATGAATGGCTAAGCACATGAGTTGCTTCCATTACTTGGCTGTACTTAGTAATGGTTAAATCAACATTGCTATAAAATACTTCTCTGAATGTATGAATTCAATTCATTTGGATAGAGATCAAGAAATAGAATTGCTAGATCACATGCTAATTCAGGTACTGCCATGTTGCTTCCCACATGGGTGATATCATTCACAGTTCCACCCCAGTATGATCATTTACAGTTCCACCCCTACAACATAATTCACAGTCCCACCCCAGGAGCATCAGTCATAGTACAATTACAGTCAGTGCACAGGTCCTGATTTCTCCACATTCTTGTCAACTTTTGTTAGTTTCTGAGCTTTTCTTAAATAACAACCATCCAAATATGATGTAGCTGGATTTCATTGTAATTTATTATTTTGGTCTTTGGTTATTGTATCATAATACAATTGTATCACAGCCTGAGCTTTCCTTAATCCAGAAGAAGTGGCTTGGCTTATTTTTTTTGTCTCACCTTCCCATCCTTGTTCTCTGATGGAATGATGGAGCAAGGAGGGTGAATCCCACACTAGGAGTAAATGTTACTAAATGTTTCCAGACCTGCACTTGGTAGTTGCCTGTACGAAGGTTACAGTCAAAGACATAAACCTACCCCACTGGAGTAGGAGGTTGGACATGTGTGGGTTCTCTGGAGATATGGTTTCTTTTTGAATTAAAATTTTGCATTTATTTGTCTATTATTTTGTTATACATAAATCAAAGACTTTCAGATTCAGAATTCATCAGAATTCATCAGAATTCAGTTCCAGATTCAGAATTCATCAATTGCTTTGAAATCTTATTATGCATGGTACCCTAGAGGCACAGAGTCAGAGGGACAGAAGAGAAGGAAGTCTTTTTCTCCTCCATGTTAACCTGGAGGATGAACATATTTGAGGACAGACTCTTTCCCAGTGTGAAATGATATGTGACGGACACAATTATTTGCAGAAGGTGAGAAGGCTCCTTTAAGAAGAATGACAACAGGGGTAGGCATTGATATGGCTCTTGGAATGTCTGTTCCAGTGCTCTCTCTTCACAGGACACACACCAAATGGCTTCAAAAGAACAAGCCCAGAGGTGAAAACAAAGTCAAATCTTGGCTCTAAGTATGCCGTCCCCTTGCCCTAGGGACCTAGGTCTGCAATGTCCATTTTTGAGGTCTAGAGACGACATACCAAAATCATGTGTGATTTAGAGGAAAACAGGCATTCCTGTGAGGTCCATCCCTTCATGTACTAGGAGCAAACAGTAATATTTTATCTGACAGAAAGACACTACTAAAGGGATATAAATCCTGTTTATTATCACTATACAACTTAACAAATGGTTCTTGGTGGTACCTGGAACAGAAATGACATTGTTGTTATGTAAACTTTTCCTAAGGAGACAAATAAGCATCTACCCTTTCAGGATATGACCCTAGTGGCAGGTTAGAGAAATGATTCCATTTAAGTCTGGCTTAGTGAATCAGTGATCACCAATTAGGGTCACTTATAGGAGAATGAGTAAGGGGTTCTATACAGAAGAAGCAGGGGCAGTTTATGAGTACCTGAACAGTTCAAGAAAATGTCTTTTCCAACAACCATTAACCAATTATATCTACTCAGGAAGGGGCCAGCCCTCCTCTTTCCATAACAGATATTAATGGGCCCAGTCTCTTATGAATCTTTTGAAGGTAATCATGGCTACTGAAACTTCAAAAAGCCATGTCAATCCTGGAGGACAGAATTATGTAACACTCTTACCTTCCTCCTGTTTTTAAATCATTTTAGCTCCTCTTCTATAATGTTCCCTGAAGCTCATGGAGAATGATTTAGCTATCCCTTTTACAAGTGTACTTCAACAGTATCATTTTTTTAGTATTTTTTGACCAGCTGAGAGTCTGTATAGTACCTGGTGCCCACTGTGCATTAAAGTTTACTTGACCAAAGATGACAGCAGTGATATCTATGAATGTAAACATAAGTGCTTAGAAGGCAATTTGACAGACTGTTCATTTAGTAAAACAGTAAGAGTTATTTCACCACAGGGGCTTATGACCCTGCCCTCCCATAACCCCCATATCAACTATGGACTAGATTTGAGTATCATCTGTGAATTCCGTACCTGGAACAGTCTGAAGTGAACTTGCTTCACACACTGTATCACTTATGCTCAACTCTCTCAGTGACACTTGTTCTTCCTCTACTGACTTCAAAAATCAGATATCCATGAATATCTCAGCTGATAATAACCAACTGTTCCTCATATTGTTTCAGATCATGAAACCCTCTTATTATTCAATTTCCACACTTCAGCAATCTGAGTGATTATCATCTTCTCCAAGTCCCACAACCTCATAAGCTGTGCTGTGAGAGAGTCTCCTATTACTTGCTTCTTTTCCAGTTTAAGCAGTTCAAAGGGAGAGTATTTCCTGATTATCAGATTCGTGTACAGTTCATTATTAAAACTCCTACCTACATGCTGTGTCATGGATTTTCTATTTCTCTAACAGACATGAGGAGTACCATCTGTTACTTCTACATTTCTCCTTCTTTAATATTGTATTTTCCCCATGGGTTCACATTTACGAGAAAGGCATTGTGATGTATAATTTTTGATGTTAAGTTGGCTTTGTCTAGATTCAACTAAAACCCAAGCAGCTGGAAATTCTGTGAGCAATTTTCTTGATAATATCATTTCAGTTGGAAAGGCTCATCCTAAATATGGTCTCTACCTTTTAATGGAAGCCCACATAAGAGGACAGAGAATAAGGAAGTTTTCACTTTGTGCCTGCTTGTCTTCATGCATGCTATCCTGTTGCATTCTTTTACTGGGACTAGAACCTACTTCTTTGGAATTCCAATGCAGACTGAAGACCAGTTGAGACATACATCCTCATGGACTGAACAATCACTAGCTAGATCTTTGGCTTTTCCATAGGGAAACAACCATTGTTGGACTAGACAGGCCACAGCCTCTAAGCCACTGTAATAAATCATACATATTTTTTAATGTTTATAATCATTCTTTCAGTTCTTTTCCTCTAGAGAACCTTGACTAATAAATCCACAGTTATTTAGCATAAGTATAATTTGTGTTTTTTCCTTTATGCTCCTTTATCCCCTCCATAAGAAACAGCAAGCCAACACTGTCTATTCCTTCCCTCTTTTTAACTTTTGCTGACAATTCTAAGTTGAATGCAGAGACTGATATATGTTTCTTGTTGTTATTCTTCCCTTATCCAGGCAAGCTCCTTCTGGGGGCAACTCAGCTTCAGTTGCATGTCTTATTGCCTAGAGCAAGGGGTGTACAATTGATATCTGCCTGTCTCAGTAAGATCCCTTCCCACACTCTACTATCAGGGACTTTAATACATTCTGCAGTCTATCAGTTGTTTTGGGGACAGCCTTACACTCACACAATGGAGCTATAGTCATGAAAGAAGCATGACACTCTGTGCCATATAGCTGAAGACAGACACCTGTCAGATGAGGTGGTATTAGTTGCATATGTTTTGCCCGGAGCAAATCCTAGTGTGCCAAGGAGTCATGCCCATCTATATCAAATAGGAAAGGATGACTATATTGAGTTTGTTTCCACAGAAGTTCCACCATCTGACATCTTAGCTTCATCAGAGAGAGAGATACTGTAAGAACTTTTCCCAAAGTACTTTTTGGTTCTGTCACATCATATGTTGTGCACAAAGTGTTATGTGAACTTTAACTGGAAGCACAACCAAACATTTATTCACTACAGATAAGCATCACCAACAGACTGATGATACCTCATTAATGTGACTTGGTTATCCAATGAGTTCACTATGATCAGCATGGGTGAGGAGCTACTTACATAAATATGGGCAACTTATGAATAGCTACAACATTGAAGAAAATAGCTCTTTACTAGCAACAATAGCAAACCAATCCTAAATCTTTAGAGAAAGTAACATTGATTGGCTATATCCTTGACCCACCTCCAGCCAAGCCAATTGTATTCAGGACATGGGTGTGATCATAGCTGCTGAGACCTCAAGAGGGTGCCAGCTCTATCATGGCTAGAACCTGGTGTTCCACAAGTGTCAACTGGGGTCTTATAAATGGAAACACATCTTATGAACTTACCAAAGCAGAGATATCAATGGAAGTAGTCCTCCAGTGTTTACATTGCTTAGTGACATTTGATCATCACTGAACCAGTTAAATATCTTATGCAGGTAACCACACACACACACACACACACACGCACATATATATATATGTGCGTGTGTGTGAATAGTATGCTAGTTTGCATGTGTATATAAGCATACATACATCCTTCTTCCCTACCTCCATTAACTGAAAACTCTTAACTCTGGTACAAACCCAAAATGTCCCTAGCCCTTTCATTTCTGTCTCTTCAGGTATGTTCTTTGTCTTAGTATAATCTAGTCCTTTCAACAACAACTCCAACTCCCTGGGACCACATTTATAGATGAGAACAGGACTTCTTTAGCTGGTTCCCAAAACTGTTCTCAGCCTTTTATCCTATCCCACAGTAGATTGGTTCTGCCACATC